TTGTCTTCTCCGGTTCTTGACCTGCATCAATTGCTGACGCCTTGCAGGAAGTGGACGAAGGACGACGAGAACCCAACTGTCCCAACCGCCTCGGCAGCGAATGCCGGCATTAATACCGGCAGCAACAGCAGCAGCCGCAAGCTAGTCTCAAGGGCGGCTCTTGACGGAATCCCCTCCTTGGCAACAGCCCGGTTATCACGTGACGTTGATTCCTGGCATGAAGAGCATGTTCCGCATTCAATCTGTAAGCACGAACCTACTGCTCTACTGGAATTGTCCGCTTACAGCTGGTGCAGACCAAACGCACAATCGCCATCTTAGCCACAATCTGCAGGACTCTCAGCGGAAGTGGTCCACAAGCACGCATGAATCTGGGCCGGTGTCCGTTCTGGGATACAGCCCGATATCCGTCACAACCCGGCAGACTTACCTTCCGCCTATTGCGCCGAAGCAGACGCCGGCTGCCTCTCTGCCGCTCTACATCAAACCGCTACCAGCCCGCATCGGATCCGATGAGATCACCTATCTGGAGAAGAAAGGCGCCTTGACGATTCCGAACAATGCTCTCCGCAACGAGCTCCTCCGAGCTTATATCGAGTTTGTGCATCCGTACATGCCGTTGCTGGATTTGCATGAATTCATCGAGATCGTGGATAAGGGGGACGGCAGTGACGGAAAGCTGAGCTTGATCCTCTTCCAGGCGGTCATGTTCGCTGGGTCCGCTTTCATTGACATGCGCCATCTTCGAAAAGCCGGATATCTTACTCGTAAGGAAGCCCGAAAGGACTTTTCTTGAAGACGAGGGTAAGTCGACTACCTCCCTACAGGCATGGTCACGTGATCAAGAGCCGCAAAGATATGGTCCTCGTTCAGGGCCATATCTTGTACCCTGTGCGCGTTACTAACTCTGTGCAGTTGCTGTATGATTTTGATTACGAATCCGACCGGATCTCGCTCGTTCAGGCCCTACTGCTTTTGACGTATTACTACGAGACGCCAGATGACCAGAAAGACACATGGCATTGGATGGGCGTTGCCACGTCTGTAGCTCATACCATTGGTCTTCATCGTAACCCTGAGAATTCAAATATGGACGCCAAGCGCACCAGGCTGTGGAAGAGAATCTGGTGGTCCACGTATATGCGAGATCGACTGATTGCCCTAGGCATGCGGAGGCCGACGCGAATAAAACCGGAAGACTTCGACGTGCCCATGCTTACTCTCGATGACTTCTCGTTCAGACCTGTTTCTGAGTCAAGTTCATGTGTTCCCGCCAGCTGCACGATTGCGAGGGATGTCGACAAGCAGCGAGAATTGGCAATCATGTGCATCGAAAAGGCAAAGCTATGTTTATGCATCAGCCAGATCCTGTCGAAGCAATACTGCGTACTGAACAACAACCAAGGGCTACTAAACGACAGGACGACCATGATGTTGTTGCCGAAGAAACTCGATGCCGAGACGTGCGACGTCCAGGCATGCGACGATGAGCTGCAGAAGTGGTTAGACGAGCTACCGAAGGAAGCTCGGTTTCGAGACGAGTCTAGCGGCAACGATTCCATAGATCTTCATCGGTCCCTCCTCCACATGGTGTTCTTCACCACCCTCTCCGCGCTGCACCGTCCCCAGGTCCTTCCCTCAACGCCCTCGCACTCACCCGGAAGCAGCGACGACAGCGCCGATCTGCTCGACGTATCGCGGCGGAAAGTCCGACGAGCAGCCGCCGCAATCACCAGCATCGTGCAGTCCCTTGACTCCCGCAACCTCGTCCGCTACCTTCCCACAACGGGCGTAACCGTGCTACTCCCAGCCATCATAATCCACCTCCTGGACATCAAAGCGCCAGACGAAGAGACGCGGCGGTCCAGCTTACGCGGCTTCTGCCAGTGCATGCAGGTGATGGGGAAGCTGCGCGACTTGTACGCCGCGGCCGACTACTCTACCGCCTTCCTCGAGGCCGCAATCCGCAAGGCCGGGATCCAGATTTCGCCGTTCCCGAATCCAGTCGGCGGCGCCAACCTCAATGCCCTAAGCAAGCCCGAGCACGTGACCACGGTGGAGGACCTCGTGGATGCGGGCCGCAGACTCGACCTCGCGCAGCTGGGCAACAACATCTCGCGCACGCTTACGCCGCCGCCTGAGGAGGCTGCTGCGGCTTTAGACGGCGCGATCGTAGTTACGGATGAGGAGGTCGCGCGGAGGCTCGAGACGTTCCTGGCGAGCACGCCACCGGAGAGCGATCACCATGAGGGGAGCGAGCAGGAGCAGGTGGAGACGCAGCAGCAGCATGACGGGGCGCTTTTCCCGGGCTTTGAGCTCATGACGACGGACAATTTCGATGAGAGGGATTTTGATACCCTCTTGAATCTGGATGCGACGATGGATGCGTTTGCGTTTAACGAAGGTGCGAGTTTGGGCTTCGCGGGCGAGAGCTGGGTTTCATTGGGTATGGCGTAAGATTCAAGACCGATTGTGTTTGGGCACTTTTTGGGGGCGTATCGGGAACGGATGAAACGGCCGGCATGCTTTTTGGATCAGGAAAATGGAAAGGGGTCCGGCGCATTTGTTAGATGTGTTCCGCATATGTCCAATGGTAAGTAAGATTATGGTTGGCCATGATAAGATACTGAGACTAGAGCGGGAGCTGTATCGTACAAGTAGAGAGTTAGATATACAGAAAGAGCTATCAGCTGTATGTTCTGGTGTACTTTCTGTTGTTACATCGCATTAGGAAAGCGTTCCGTCGACCTATATGGCATTCTATGCAGAGAACCGCGTCCCTGACCTTCACGGAGTCGGCAAGGTTCAAGTTTTCAAGAAGTTTTTAGACTTCGGGTTGAAAGATTGTTGGTATTGGTGGATAGCCAGCTAACTATCTACGCGCTATGGCTCACCTAGAGCATGCTGTCCTATGGTATAAGGCCTCAGCCTTGCCGACACTCCTTAGCCTTTACCCCAATACAAAACGCCATTTTCCAAGAGTAGAGATGTCCCATTCTATGCCTAATGCAGCGCCTTTCCCAGGGTATACCTGCCCTACCGCCTCGCAGCATCGCACTGCTCAATGAAGCGATAAATCCCCTCAAAGCCCTGATACTCCAGCGGACTATGATAGTCTTGCGCTTCCCGACTCGGCACCGACTCCTCGAACTCGCTGCTACGCACGCTCTCATAGCCTGAGGGCGACGAGATCCACGGATTGTCCTCACAGAGCTCATCAACGGCGAGTCCGTCGTCGGAGAGCGTGGAGTACTCGACCGACGCAACAGACTCGTCTTCGGGGGACAGCATGTTCCGCCAGTCGATGCGCTCATGCTGTATGACGCGTCCCTCGACCGGCTTCTCGAAGAACTCGCACTCGGATACTGTCTTGCTCGGCGCAAACGGGAAGAGCAGCGCGATCTCCGTCCCCGCGAAGGCGTCGAAGTCTTCATCTTGGCGGACGAGACCCCGCCGGACGCCCAGCTCGTCGCAAAGCCGCTCGACGGTGTCGGCATCGCACCCGGGGAAATGCACGCGTAGCGAAGACGCGAGATAGGTTATCGGCAAGTCGCCGAGATCGGAGAGACGCTTGAGGTCGTTGAGGATAGCCGCAAGGTCTTTCAGGGACCGCGAGAAGTCGATCGAGAGGACATCGAGAAGGCCCTCGGAGTTCAGTGACTCCTGCGCGACGGGCGTGTAGCCAGCCACGGCGCTCAACGGGGTCAGAGCAGTGATGGTGGGGTTGATGTTGAACTCGATGAACGAGCCTGGCGTCGCCTTTGGAAGAGAGTTCATCTTCCGTCCGACCTCCTTTTGCAGCGCTGTCACGGACTTGTAGCGTTTCTCGCCGGTATGCGGGTTAACGCCGTCGAATTGGGCCTTCTGGCCGGAGATGAGGAAGGCACGCACGGCTTGCGAGACGTTGTGGACGACCTGTGCCGGTGCAGCAGGCGTGTGAGAGAAGTATCTGGCCCCGCCAACTCGGCCGGAGCCGAGGCGTAGCCGCCAGCTGTCCGGTTCAGTGTGCCTCCGGTGAGGTTTGGTCGAAGTGTCGTAGCGAATGGCGCCCGACCACTGAGGCTGTTGACAGCGTTGCCAATAGTTGACTTGGGAAAGGATGAGCGGTCATATTTGGCCGCTTTTGCAGCTCCGCTAGTGTAGCGACGGACGGCGGCATTGATGGTACTGTGGGTGGTATACCAGCGGCCTTTGCTCTGCTTGAGATAGGCGATACGGTGGAGAGGGTGTTTGGGAGCGTTTCGAGCGTAAACGGGCTGGAGCTCGGCCTGTGTCGGTCGTAGTGATGATGGTAATTTGTTCTGTATCAAGCGTGAAGTCTTCTGCCAGGCAAGCCTAATGAATCATCGTCAGAGCCAGTCTTCAGTAGCAGATTGAGGATATTAATGCATACCTGAACAGCTTCACGTTCTTGGCCACCAACTTGTGGAGGTGGCGCGCGGAGCCCGTCATGTTGAGAATGGTGCCGCGAGTGCGGAGGAGAGGATGGTGGGTGAGGGCAGAGGTGATGATGGAGGTTAAGTGGCGAACTTTAGCCCTGTGGCGCACGTGAAGCCTCAGCCCCGCACGCCGGGCGGGAAAAAGGCCTCACCACGAACGTAGAAACCAGAGCTGCATTAGTAACAAAGCTCCCTTCATGATCAATCTAATGCTTCATAACAAGGTCTAAATAGCTCACTAAAGGCTTGTCCTTCTATCGGTCCTCCTTAGATTTGCTACAGCGGCTGATCGTGGATTACTTCGTAAAATTGACGGTGGACGAGCGCTAGACTACTGTCGCGTAGGTTTATTTCCCGTCCGGCGTGCCCCGCTGCGTCAGGGTCTGGATCGGCGGGATTTACGCGACTGCGAAGCCACCACTAGCCCCGAATCGACGTCGAACTTGCTCTCCATCGGGTGCTTTTCAATAAAAAGTAAACCGAATATAAACCAATGCAAAAATGTTGAAGCATTCCACGTGGGGCTCTTTGATGATGTTAGCGCTATATTGCTGTGACTTGAGTTCGAACTCTAGACTTACCGAACCCACAGCCTCCAGATGCCCTGCCGAAATAGAAGTCTGGCGCGCTACCATTGCGCCAGTGGAACTTTGCAAGGCTCGCTTAACTTAACAATAAATGAAGAAGCACATAGCTGCAAAGAAACCGCACCAAGATGTTTGCACGTGTTCTCCTCTAGCAGACCAGCCTAACCGGGTTCAAACACATCACAAGCACGTGCAAGTCCATGGCTCCTCCCTTCCTTCCGTAGACGTCTAAACATGCGTCTGAGTTATCGATCTTCATACGAAGGAAGCCTTCTAACATCTACTCAGAGAACCGATGAGAAGTATTCGCGATCGCTGCCATAGATACAGTGATACCGAGAAAGCTTTCGGTACGCACGTCGTACATCAAAGCCACTTCTCCATTGGTATTTGAATGATGATTGACTTGTTCCCAATGATGAACAGCTCTATCATTCGAGGGTACTCGTCTCTAGGATTGTCTGTCTAATACAAGTTCCCGACGGTCCAATGCGTAGATCCATGCTAATATCGGTTGAACACTAATCACGCAGTTGCGAACTATATTACATTGCCGGCTGCAGGGGAAGAAACATCGATGGTTACAACGGCGCTCTTAATAATCAGAATTTTGAAGCCCTCTATCGCTTGGAATCTGCGGCCGCTAGACTCAAGCCTGAGCAGCACGAAGCCTCCCAGGCCTGGAATGACGGTGAGTGTAGGTAATTGCCGTCTATAGGGTATGATATTGATCCCAAACGTGTGACTAACACCATCACGCCTTCAACCGCCGCTCTTCGCACCTAACACACACCGGATCTTGACTCCCGCTTCTAAGGAAGTAGCGTCCGTCGTCAAACGGTCCGGAGCATTCCTGTAACACCTGTGGGTCAGCATCCGTCCCTCTTTGATCTCTCCATCCTCTAGCAAGGCAGCCAACGCAGCCAGGAGGAGGAAGCACTCACCACACAGCAAAAACACCCCGTATGCCATTCCGCTCCCAGCGCCTTGACCACCGTATCCGTGACCGGCTTCCTGCACTTCTTGCACTTGGTTGAGAACCGATTGGTGTGGCAGTTGACGCACCACGCGTAGCCGTCCTTTTCCACGAAGGGTGTTTGGCTGTCAAAAGGCTGCTCTGGATGTCAGACACGCTTCTCTTCGCTGCTTTCCCAAAGGCTGAGCCGGAGCAAAGAGAAGAAAGGAGAGAAGAAGGGAAGAGACTCAAACTCACATCGCCACACTGCGCGCAAAAGAAATGCCCAACATGCCACTCCGCCCCACAAGCCAACACGACCTCCCCCTCAATCGGCGTCTTACAGCTCTTGCACCTTGGGCTAAAGAACTCATGGAAGTCGAGATGGCAATAAAACCTGAGTCCCTCGTCCCCATCCTCTTCCTCCCCTCTCCCATCCCCCTCTCCAGCATCCACATCTACATCCTCCCCCGCCATCCTCCTCCGGATCCGCTCCACCCTCTCCCCTCACATGCTCCGGCTCCGGATAAAACGCCACACACTCGAGCCCCTCGCCACAGTGATGGCACGTAAAGCACTCCGGATGGAACCGCGCTCCCGCTGCGCTAACGACGCGGCCGGCGATCGGGAGCGCGCAGTTCGTGCAGAGGGCGACGGTGCGGGCGCCACGGAGAGAGGGCGTCCAGTGGGGTTGCGTTGATGGAGGGGCGGTGGCTGCGTGGCGGGGGTGCGGGCGGTTGTGGGTTTTGGGCTGGGGAAGAGGCCGGGTTGGGGCGGATGCGCTGAGCGTCGGGACGGAGGGAAGCGGGGCGGAGATGGCTATTGAGGGAGCGTCTGGGAGGTTGATGGTTGGAATTGAGGGGCAGTCGGAAACGGAGATGCTGGGGACTGCTGGTGAGTCTTCGCCTGGGGGGTTGATGGTCGGAATTGGGGGCGCGGAGGATACGTTTATCGACGGGATAAGGGCCTCTGGAGAGACTGAGATGGTGGGAGGGCTCGGAGAGGGCGCGGGTTTCCTGCTAACGTTGCCGGGCTCGTCTGGGAGATTGATGGTTGGTATAACGGACTTGACCACGGGGTTCGGCGAAGTATGCGTGATCTTTGGAGCAGCAGGCAGCACCCGCGATTCCTCCTGCTTCAGCTCCACCTCCTTCGGCTTCCAACCGCTTTGAAAGCTGACGATAGGCCGTCCCGGGCTGTCGCTAACAACGGTAGGTGTTGGGAGCTTTGGACTTCGGTCTTTCAGCTTCATGCTGGTCGCCGCTCGGATATCGTCGCCTCGGATCTCCTTACCATCTTTCATCTTGACTGCTTCCTCGTTGCTGACTGCATTCTCAACGTCGCTGGATAATCTTGGCGGTGTCGCAGAGTTTGTGTTAGACGTGTAAGCTGGATTGCGCGACTGGGAAGGTGGATTTCTCTGAATTTCAAATCTGTCAAATCTCTTGCCTGTCAACAACGGCTCCGTGTTTGACCGTGCAACGTTCTCTCTTGCAAATTGGACTCTTGCGAAGGGGTTACGGCGGCCGCGGGGTGGCGCAGCAGTTGGTGCTTTCTGCACGGCGGGCTTCGGTGATGAATCCTCGGGTTCCTCGTAGATTTGATCCTCCGGATTCTGAAAAAGACTACCGCTGACTTTCCTTTTAGAACCGCTACTACGCCGTCGACCTGATGGTAGTTCAGATATAGCAGGTATAGGCGCGTTTGGGCAGACGGTCTTGGACTCAGGAATGCTTTTCGGAATGGCGATGGCCGCTTTGACTTCGTCCCCCTGTTTCTTTGCTGGGCTATCAGGCACCCTGATAGACGAGTCACTCGGAACGCGAGTGCTTGACAAACTGTTTCTACCACTACCGCCGGACGCCGAAGCGCTGGAAGTCGAGTCTTTGGTGAACAAATCGCCCCGATGTAGATCCAACGATCCTCGGCCTATACTCTGTACCTTGGCGTGACTGCCCTTACGCAGATGCTCCTTGTAATCATAGGGAGCATCAGGGTTGCGATATGGCGCATTGGGATTCTGATGCTTCCACACAAGCTCCGAAGCTTCCTCTTGTGCTGCCGAGTACAAGTGCTGATCTTCTTGGATGTCCATATCTTCTAGTGCTTTCCTCAACGATTGAGCCTCCTGGCGCTCCATCCAGCGCTGTCCGTTTTCCTGGTATCCTATACTGGGAGATCGTGAGGCGCTCGAGTTTCCTGTAGTAGGGCTCAAAATCGGTGCCTGCACTAGTGGACGGCCCCTTCCATGGTCTGCTGAAGGAGTTTCTACGCTGCCAGACTCTGTCCGGCGAAGGGATTGTGCACTTGTAGATCGAGGCGGTTCGGGCCGCGATGAATCTACGCTTGGTCTGAGTGCTGCAGATTGCGGTACAAAAGGAGAGTTGTTTCTATTGCTTGGTGTGGAGCGAGATGGGAGGGGTCGGGAGCCATTGGGTCTCGTAATGCGGTTCGATCGGAGGTCAGTCAAGTAGTCTCCTGTACGGCACGGTGAGTGTGAGGTATGCACAGGCAGAGAGGAAGGTATCACTGACCCACTTGCTTGGGTGACATGAATATCGGTCCAGGGTTGTTGGTAGTTTGGTCCCTGCTTGTGGTCTTGTGCAGCATGGTGGAATGCAGACGGTTGTCGTTGCTATATTAGGAGTTTGGAGAATGCATGCGGAACGATCGATGATGATACTCTGAAGTAGCGACTGTCTATTGAAAAATCAAGTGCCAGGCTCAGTTGATACTTGGAGTAAAGCCCATTAATCGTGCAATACAAGTAACAGTGAAAGTGACGCTGAGACTTTTTGTTTTCCCCTGCGTTAACCAGGCAACGTGCAGAGCGGCCAACCAGGGGGTGAAGGGTGATTTGAAAAGGAGTTTGCCGCTCTAATCATACAGTTCGTTACCACAGAGCGGCAAGTTTATTTTCAACCCGCCCTTGGACCCCAGCTTCAGCCTCAGCCGCATGACGAGAATAGCAATCTGAGGTGCCACCGCGTCATCTGGCATGCCTCAGCATCTTTGCGCATCCAACATCAGCAAGACGATCGCCTTTTGAGCGTCGCTGCGTTGCATCCTTGCCTCTTCCGGCGGCCCTAGAGTGACGCTTTGAGAGAACAGGTTTGAAGGGTTTGCAACAGTCTTCTACGGGCAGCGTGTCCAGTATTTTGAAGCCTGGCCTATCTCGAAGGGACTCAGGAACTAATTCCGTGTTTCAACGCCGGAAAGAAAAGCGGTAGTTATGTAGAAGAGGATCCCGGGGATAGCCGCAGAGCAGATCCTCCCCCGCATCACCTCGGCGCGGCAACACGGCACCCACTATTTTCTCCATAGCGCCCCCCGTCATCTCCATCAGTCATCCATCGTCCAGCTATGGATCGTTGGCGATTGCTTGCTCCGTCTCGTTCGGCTTTGAGCGCCTTTGAGAGTTTATCAATTCGAGCAATATCTCTTCCTGCCTCGCCCTTGACGCCTAATGACGGATCAAATACCACGAGGCGCTCGGGATGACATACTAAGCCCGCTTCCTCCTTCGCAACAGTCGCTGGACAGATCCGAGAAGACTACGAACGATGAAGAGCAGATACCCCCAGCGGCGAGGCCAGTGGATGTGCCCCCCGACGGCGGCTACGGCTGGGTGTGCTGCGCCTGCACCTTCACAATCAACGCGCATACCTGGGGCCTGAACAGCGTAAACATCCCCTCAAGCAAACTCCACACCCTTTAACTAACCCACCCTCCCACTGCCAGTCCTACGGCGTCTTCCTCGCACACTACCTCTCCACCTCAACCTTCCCGGGCGCCACCCCCTCGACTTCGCCTTCGTAGGCGGTCTCTCAATCTCGCAAGCCCTCTTCATCTCCCCGCTGGCCACGATCCTAACGCGCATCTACGGCACGCGGACCACGCTTCTCGTCGGCGTCTTCCTCGAAACCCTCTCCCTGATCGGCGCCTCCTTCGCAACGCGCATCTGGCACCTCTTTCTGAGCCAAGGCCTCTGCTTCGGCTGGGGCATGGGCTTCCTGTTCGTCGGCTCTGTGGGCATCGTCCCGCAGTGGTTCAGCACGCGGCGGAGTTTTGCGAACGGGATTTCGGCTGCTGGGTCTGGGCTAGGGG